TTTTTTGGGTCCGGTCGTGGGGCCTGAACTCTGGGCCTGGGCACTGTCCCTCAGCTCTTCAGCTCAAGGCTAGCGCTCTACCACTTGAACCACAGTGCCCCTTCCGGCTTTTTTCTTTTCACTTATGTGGTGCTGAGGAATCGAACCCAGGGCCTCAGGCATGCATGGCAAGCGCTCTACCACTGAGCCATCTTCCCAGCCCCTAAATAACTTTTTTGTTGTTGTTGTTTTTTTGTTTTTTGGTCGTGGGGCTTGAACTCTGGGCTTGGGCGCTGTCCTTGTGCTCTTCAGCTCAAGGCCAGTGCTCTACCACTTGAGCCACAGCACCACTTCCGGTTTTCTAGCAGTTTATTAAAGATAAGAGTCTCACGAACTTTCCTGCCCGGGCTGGCTTTGAACCACGATCCTCAGATCTCAGCCTCCTGAGTAGCTAGGATTACAGGCGTGAGCCACCAGCGCCCGGCTTAAATAACTTTCTTTTTTTTTTTTTCTTTAGCAGACAAAAATAATCATGTTTTAAGTATACAAAAATATATACAAGCTGTTGATGGTGGGATGCATGTCAATGAAATTAAAGGTCCTTGTATTTTTCAAAAATAGACTAAAGATTTTAATTGGTGTGAGTCTTTGGTATATACATGTCATATATGACATATTTATATAGTTTTATATATAGTTATATATATATTTGTGTATGTGTCTTAATACCTAGGCTGAAAATTGAAATAATCAATAAAAAAGCATAATTTACAACACGTACGTGGAGATAACTGAAAATAGGATGAGAAAAAAAACCAAAAACAGTAGAGAAAAAGCCATGTGTATGTGCAGGACTGGTAAAAAATACCAAATGATAGGTATAAATGTGAATATGTTACCAGTGATCCTCATGTTAAAAGACAAGTATTGCCAGATGCTGGTGGCTTTGTGCCTGTCATCCTAGCTACTCAGGAGGCTGAGATCTGAGGATCACAGTTCAAAGCCAGCCTGGGCAACAAAGGCTGTGAGACTCTTATCTTGAATAAACCACCAGAAAACGGGAAGTGGTGCTGTAGCTCAAGTGGTAGGGTGCTAGCCTTGAGCTGAAGAGTTCAGGGACAGTGCCCAGGCCCAGAGTTCAAGACCCACGAATGACAAAAATAAAAATAAAAAAAGGTATTGCTCTACTACATACAGTCACACCTGTTGCTTTTGCCAAGCTTTTGCCTGGTGGAGCCCTGTCTAGAGTTTACATGCAGCAGTCTAGCAAGGCCTACATTAGATAGAAACAAGCTTGCATTCTGCTTCAGGAATTTCATATTAAATTGCCTGTTTTGTTTTACCTTTGTGCCAGCACCAGAGCACTGGGATTGAACTCTGGGCCAAATGACTTCTTTCAGTTCTCTTGCTCATTGCTGGCACTCTGCCTTTTTTATTTATTTTTTGGGGTCATCATGGGGCTTGAACTCTGGGCTTGGGCGCTATCCCACAGCTCTTCAGCTCAAGGCACACGCTCTACGCACTCTACCACTTGAGCCACAATGCCACTTTGGTTTTTCTACTGATTTATTGGAGGTAAGAGTCTCATGGAGTTTCCTGCCTAAGCTGGCTTTGAACTGCGATCCTCAGATCTCAGCCTCCTGAGTAGCTAGGATTAGAAGCATGAGCCACCAGTGCCCGGCAGCACTCTGCCTTTTGGGCCATGCCTCCAGTCTAATACTTTGCAGGTTAACTGAAAATATAGTCTCATAGACTATATTTGCCTGGGTTGGATTCAAATTGATTTCTTCTAAGTCTCAGCCTCCTGAGACTTGGAGTAGCTAGAATTAAAGTCATGAGCCAATAGTACCTGGCTTAGGAATTCTTTTTAAATGAAGTAACAAATTCTTCTATTGTTCATTTAATACTTGAAAGCAAAAGCATCTCAAATGATATAATGCTTTTAAAAAAATGTATTCTCTAAAATTAGGCTGAGTATTATGTTTAACATAAACTCCCTTATCTAATATCCCCAATATTGGAAGTACCAATCCGTGCTGGACAGCCATTCAGTGAGGGTGTTAATGAAAAGATTAATCATTGGGCCATGTTTATTTATTTTTTTGCCAGTTGTGGGTCTTGAACTCTAGGCCTGGGTGCTGTCCCTCAGCTCCTCAGCTCAAGGCTAGCACTCTACCACTTGAGCCACAGAACCACTTCTGGCTTTTTCTGTTTATGTGGTGCTAAGGAATTGAACCCAGGGCCTCATGCGTGCAAGACAAGCTCTCTACCACTGAGCCACCTTCCCAGCCCCATGAGCCATGTTTAGATAGATGACCTTTAGCCTCCCTTCCAACACTGATAGGCTGGAGCCTACCTAATGAACACTTCCTCCATGGTGGTGACAGAGGCTGCAAAGCTGGAGATTGCCAGCTCTGACTGGTTCAGTTCCAGGTCAGCAAATAGAGATTCAAACCTAAAAAGGAAAGAACAGTTCTATTTCTGAAAGTCTGCAGGTGAATCCTTTACCACCCATACTTCTCTACAGAGGAAAAGGCATGGGCCGTGTGGTCAAGATTTCTGTTCAAATCTCAACTTTACTTTTAGAACTAGAACACAAGAACTTGAATGAGGGTAACAGAAATTCTTTTGGATGGTTCCTGTAGGTATATGCCTAAAACATCTAGCACATTATATAGATGCAAAATCATTAATAATCAATTTTTTCCTTTTGAATAGAGAAAAACAATGATACTATTTTTGAAGTGCTTTCTCTCTCTTTTATTTTCCTTTTTAAAATTATCTTTAAGTAGTTGTATTTTGAAGTGCTTTCTAAATGCCAGGAGAGTGTTCTTAGCCCTTTTACATGTTCTAGAGATCAAAAGTCGAAAATTGACTTCACTTATTTTTGTCGACATTTGTCTAGGTATTTTCAAGCTCTGTGATGAGGCATATACACATAAAGAGTGTAACTTTTTATGGCATATGGACTCACCGTCTCTTCTTGTAACCTAAAAATTCTAAGTCTCCTCCCCACACTGTGCATGCCAGTCCTCACTCTTCATCAAGACGTAGTGCTTATTTTCCTCTCCCTTTAACTACTCTTAGCAAGAGAATGTGATGGGAGTGATGTTTTGGTATTTCTGAGCCCAGGCCTTAAGCAGAGGGGCTGTTTTTAGTTTTATCCCCTTTTGAATAGGCACTCTTAAGATCCCCCTGCTTGGACCTTTCCTACCTTGCTGTAAGAAGTGCATGCAGCCTTGAGAGGCACCATGTGCAGGAGTTCTGAGAGCCACTGTCAGCAGCCCGGGAGCACCCAAGTGACAGACAGGCAGTACCGTCATCCCCTGGGAGAAGGATCCTTCCATCTAGTTCATTCTAGGCCCTGGACAACTTTAGTCTCAGTCATTATAAAAACTGTTTGGCTGAGTCCAGTCAGGCTACACAACTATGAGAGGCAATAAAATGGTTGTCATTTTAAGCCAGCAAATGTTGAGGTAATTTGTTATTTGGTAATATACAACTGAAACAAAATTTGATCCCAGAAGCACTGTAACAAAATAAAAAGAACTAGAATGTGCAATATGGCTCTGGGATCAGATAATTGGAGTGTGAAGGCAGGAGAATTCTAGACAGAGGCTAGAAGAACAGTGAGAAAATTCTTTAATTTTTCATGTCATCAGAAATATATGTGGCCACAGTTTCAGTTGCTGTAACAAAAGATTGAAAGAGTATTTAATGAACTTGTGGGTAAATTCCTATGGGTATGTCCAGTTATAATGTTTCAAGTGTTAACTGGTTTATTATAGTTGCACATGACAAAACAAAAATGAAACAATCAAATGCTTAACAAAAATTAAAGAAAATACAGAGGCACCGTGACAGTCTTTCCAGTAAAAGGTCTTGGAATTCTCAGGGACAAAATGAAAGCCAAAGTAATGACAATGAAATATTGCTTCAGAATAAAGAATGGTTTCACTCTCAAGCTCTGAAACCCTTTGCTGAGAGCCAGTTGATACATTTCAGAGGTACACACTGCTTAGCCTCAATCATCTGGACAAAGGATTCTAAAATTCAGGCAGGCACTGTGTTACATTATCATGGCTCTTAGCCCAAGGTATACAAGGGCCTGTGCCTCTGTGTGTGTGTGTGTGTGTGTGTGTGTGTGTGTGTGTGTATGTGTTTCTTGTGGTAGTACTGGGGTTTGAAATCAGACACTAGCACTCATCATGCAGGTGCTCTTCCACTTGAGCCTTGCTCCCAGGTGAGAGGAAGTGGATTTGAAGACTGTGAATATAATTTTAGTCTAGCAAAGTTCATTTCATGACCTAGTTTTAGGAAATCTACATGGTATTGGACAAAATTTTAAAAATGGTCTTTGGTCTATCTCCTATAGGCAGGAAAGATACAAGTAATCAGTTTTTATGAAAAAAAGGAAATGTATGTGTATATATAATATATATGAGGCAAAGTCAATAGCCAGTGAGTGAAGTCAAGACCTGATCAAAATCACTCTTAAGAAGCAGAACAGTGGGGGCTGGGAAGGTGGCTCAGTGGTAGAGCGCTTGCCTTGTATGCATGAGGCCCTGGGTTCGATTCCTTAGCACCACATAAACAGAAAAAGCTGAAGTGGCGCTGTGGCTCATGGTAGAGCGCTAGCCTTAAGCTGAAGAGCTGAGGGACAGCACCCAGGCTCAGAGTTCAGGCCCCACGACCGAAAAAAAAGAAAAGAAGAAGCAGAACAGTGTCTTGTCTCAATTAATATACATTTCCTGACCCTAAAAAAAGCAGAAATTGATAACTCCTAGAATTCAGAATTAACAACAAGGTTATGTACCTTTTATGTACCTCCTATTTGTTCAATTCTGAATAGAAATATTCAGAAATATTGTGATGATCCTACCCATGCCATCATTTCATGTCCAATGAACTGGATATATGTGGATCAGATAATTCTCTCTTTAGTTTCAGATCTTCAAATAAAAAGAACAATACCCAAAGAGTCGAATCCAAGTCCCACACTTGAGAAGTCTCACTGGCACTTAGACGTGTTCCAGACAATGAGATCCTAAGTCTGTGCTGATTCTCTAATGGGCTGAGGTTTAGGGTCATGTGTCTTTTGCCTGTGGGCACATGTGAAGGACATTATTTCTGTGGCCAGCATATACTGTGCTAACCTCTCAATCCATACCTGTGTGTGCTCTCTTTAGGAAGTATAAATATTAATTCTTCTGCAACATCAGACTCCAAAACTGCATTTGGTATGTGATGATAGATAAGACGACAGAGCTTCTGTGTGTCACAGAAAGGTGTTTTCAGTAAAGTCATATAGTAGCCTGCACCTGAAATACCATGTAAAAGACCATAAAACCATTTTACTCTATACTTTTCTTCTTGGACCATATTTAGTTTTCTGCAGCTTACAATGGGGCTGTGCTTGGGGAAAGAAGCTGAACAGCCCTATGCGATCAAGTTTTAACCATAATGAACTGGCTTTGGGAGCTCTGAAATTCTATTTAGGAGTCTTCCTCTGCTCTGGAATTGGAAGGGGGCACATGGAGGTGATATTAAGGCAACACTCCCATTAAATGATAACTAACTTGAGGAAGTGAAGACTTAGTAAGCAGATGCCTTGAATATTAAGACAAAAGATATATAAAAATTATACCACAGGGTTAGAAATGCAGTTCATTAGCATAGTGCTTGCCTACCATATATGAAGCTCTGAGTTCATCCTCAGAAACTCAAGAAGAAAAAAAAAACCCGTAGTTTTGAGGAAATATACCTTGTAGCATTTGAACCATTTTTTTTTTCAGAAATCAGTAATACTTTTTTCTATCATATAGGAAGGGGGAGTCATTTGACTAACTTTTTATTTTCTGAATATTTTTTTTGGGGGGGCCCGGTCGTGGGGCCTGAACTCTGGGCCTGGGCACTGTCCCTCAGCTCTTCAGCTCAAGGCTAGCGCTCTACCACTTGAGCAACATCACCACTTCTGGCTTTTGCTTTTTGCTTATGTGGTACTGGGGAATCGAACCCAGGGCCTCATGCATGCAAGGCAAGCGCTCTACCACTGAGCCACCTTCCCAGTCCCTAAATTTTTTTTTTCTATCAGTGGTGGGGCCTGAACTCTAGGCCTGGGCTCTGTCCCTCAGCTCTTCAGATCAAGGCTAGTGCTCTACCACTTGAGCCACAGTGCCACTTCTGTTTTTTTCTGTTTATGTGCTGCTAAGGAATCGAACCCAGGGCCTCATGCGTGCAAGACAAGCACTGTACCACTGAGCCACCTTCCCAGCCCCATCAACTAACATTTTTTGAAGCCATAAGACATGGCAGGCACTGTTCTAATTAATCATTCACATGGGGCTTTCACTGAACAAGTAGGAGACAAATCAGGTACTGGTGGCTCATGCCTATAATCCTAATCTCAGGAGGCTGAGATCTGAGGATTGCAGTCCAAAGCCAGCCCAGGCAGGAAAGGCCATGAGACTCCTATCTCCAATTGACTGCCAGAAAATCAGAAGTGGCACTGTGGCTGAAAATGGTAGAGCACCCACGGACAGCACCCAGGCTCTGAGTTCAAGCCCCAGGACATTAAGCCCCAGAAAAAAAAAAAAAAAAAAAGACAATAAACAAGCAAAAATAAATGAGGACAGTTAATATTGGAAATGTATAATTTTAAACACAATGAAGAAGGAAGGCTGTCACTGAGAACATGACATCAGGAAGTGACCTGAGGAGCAGAGGACAGCCATTCATGGCTGGGAGAGCAAGGTTAGCAAGAGGCCTGGATGGAGGCTACTTAATTTCCTCCTTATTCCTGTTATAGGTTCCTCCTCTGGGGTGAGTAGACGGGAAGTCGAGAGGAGGTCACCTCCCACCCCTGTCAGGGCCCTTCACAAAGGCTAACAGTGGGCAGTGACCCTCAGCACAGCAGGCAGCGGTGCTGGCCCTGTCACAAGACGGAGGTCCATCTGCCCACCTGCTGCCCACCACTCACCATATTTCTGCTTGAGGAACAGAGACGACCCACAGCACTGCAGCTCCCCATCCGCCATGATGGCGATGCGGTCCCCCAGCAGGTCAGCCTCGTCCATGAAGTGCGTAGTCAGCAGGATGGTGCGGTCACTCTTCTGCTGCTGAAGAAGGTCCCAGATGGCCCTCCTGGAGATGGCGTCCATGCCCGAGGTGGGCTCGTCCAGAATCAACAACTGGATGGCAGAGGCAAAGTTGTGGCAATGGCAGAGCCGCTTTCCAGACCGGGGCTGGCTGTGCTGGGGACCGGCTAAGCTACCTTGAGTTCTAGTGCCCAGCTATGTGTTCACTGTGTGTGGGGAACCTGGGCTGGCCTCGTCAGGAGGTGGGGTGCAGCTGCCCCGTACCTTGGAACCCGCTATGAGGGCAATGCCGATGGAGAGCTTGCGCTTCATCCCTCCACTCAGGTACTTGCATGGCGAATTCCGCTTGTCCTCCATATTGAGGGCGTACAGCATGTGCTTCACTTCTTCAGGACACTTTTGGGGTGACAGGCCTTTCAGCTGCAATGGTGGAGGATGGGGTGGGAAGTTGAGGCTGTTTATCTAGGAGGACCAGGCAGCCAGGGAAACTATACAAGAAACTATTTTCAAGGAAAGTGATAGACTTTTTCATGTTGAACTATGTAAGTAAGTATATGACAGTAAAATATGGCGGCATGTTAAGACAGTAATACAACATGAAGTGGCATTTATTCTAGGAATGCCAGTGGTTCAACATACAAAAAATGTGTTTTTTAAAGAAATAATTTGTCTGGCTCTTGTCCTTGGTTTCTTTTCTTTTTTTGGGGGGCGGGGGGTCCGGTCGTGGGGCCTGAACTCTAGGCCTGGGCGCTGTCCCTCAGCTCTTCAGCTCAAGGCTAGCACTCTACCACTTGAGCCACAGTGCCACTTCTGGCTTTTTTCTTTTTTTTGCTTATGTGGTGCTGAGGAATCATGCATGCAAGGCAAGCGAGCTACCACTGAGCCACCTTCCCAGCCCATCTTGTCCTTGGTTTCTGGAAAGACCTTCCTAAAGCCTTGGAATGTCCCAATGCTAGGACTGTCTGTTACATGTGGTGGCTACTCAGGTCATGCTTGGATTATGCTAAGGCAGTAACTCAGGATGGGAGCTGATCAGACCAGGAAGGTCAACTGTGTAATTAAAGGGCCTGGGCTTTGAGTCATACACCCTCAGACTCTCAGTACTTTAGGATGGGAGGAAGGTTGGATTTTAGTTCATTTACATGACCAATGATTTAATCATCCCCATCTATGTAATGAAATGCTAATAAAAACTAACTACTTTGAGCTCAGATATGCACCCTGGTCAGCATCCATTTGCCATGAAGGTAAAACAGTCTCAGGACAAGCGCAGCGCTCAAAACTCTCCCAGCCCAAGGCGGGCGCTGGTGGCTCACGCCTGTAATCCTAGCTACTCAGGAGGCTGAGATCTGAGGATCAAAGTCTGTGAAACTCTTATCTCCAATAAACCACCAGAAAACCGGAAGTGGTGCTGTAGCTCTAGTGGGTAAAGTGCTTGCCTTGAGCTGAAGAGCTGAGGGACAGTGTCCAGGCCCAGAGTTCAAGCCTCATGATTGACATAAAAAAAAAAAAGACTCTCCCAGCCTACACTTATACCATATGTTTCTTCTTTTGTCTAGACTCCAGTGGTACCACAATAATAGAGTAATCATAAGTGCAACGCTTTCTTAGGTTCTGTCACTCATCCCAGTGAATTTGTGAATTCTGACAGTCATCCCAAATATGTAGTGGGGCTTACAAATTTACAACCATCTTATCAGAAGACTGTTGGAAGGTTTCTTGAGTAGACACAATTCCTTTCTTTCTTTCCTTTTTTTTGTTTTTGGTCCTGGGGCTTGAACTCTGGACCTAGGTGTTGTCCCTGAGATTCTTTTTGCTCAAGGGGAGCTCTATACCACTTGAGCCACAGGCACCACTTTGGCTTTTTTGAGGAGTTTATTGGAAATAAGAGTCTCACAGGGTTTCTTTTCCTGGGCTGGCTTCAAACCGTGATCCTCAGATCTAAGCCTCCTGAGTAGCTAGGATTACAGCCATAAGCCACCGGCATCCAGCCACAATTACTTTCTTAAGAATTCTTATGAATTCTTGGGGCTGGGAAGGTGGCTCAGTGGTAGAGTGCTTGCCTTGCATGCATGAGGCCCTAGGTTTGATTCCTTAGTACCACATAAGCAGAAAAAGCTGGAACTGGCACTGTGGCTCAACTAGTGAGAGTGCTCGCCTTGATCTGAAGAGCTGAGGGACAGCGCCCAGGCCCAGGGTACAAGCTCCCTGACCGACAAAAAAAGATATGAATTCTGTGCTAACTTCATTATTTGCATCAAATTGTACTGCAGTACACAACATAGTAACAGACAAAAACCACATGATAGGGGCTGGGAAGGTGGCTCGTGGTAGAGTGCCTGCCTTGAATGCATGAGGCCCTGGGTTCAATTCCTCAGCACCACATAAGCAGAAAAAGCCAGAAGTGGTGCTATGGTACAAGTGGTAGAGCGCTAGCTTTGATCTGAAGAGCTGAGAGACAGCACCCAGGCCCAGAGTTCAGGCCCCACAACCGACCAAACAAAACAAAACGAAAAAACCCAAGATAATCTCAGAAGACAGAAATGCATTTGTCAAAATCCAACAAACTGGGGCTGGGAAGGTGGCTCAGTGGTAGAGCGCTTGCCTTGCATGCCTGAGGCCCTGGGTTCAATTCCTCAGCACTACATAAACAAAAAGAAAAAAGCCGGAAGTGGCGCTGTGGCTCAAGTGGTAGAGTGCTAGCCTTGAGCTGAAGAGCTGAGGGACAGCACTCAGGCCCAGAGTTCAGGCCCTACGACCGGAACCCCCCGCCCCCCCCCCAAATTCAACAATCTGCAGGGCGCCGGTGGTTCATGCCTGTAATCCTAGCTACTCAGGACGCTGAGATCTGAGGATCACTGTTCAAAGCCAGCCCAGGCAGGAAAGTCTGTGAGACTCTTTTTATGGGACTTGAACTCTGGGCCTGGGCGCTGTCCCTCAGCTCTCCAGCTCAAGGCCAGCGCTCTAACCACTTGAGCTACAGCGCCACTTCCGGTTTTCTGGTGGTTTATTGGAGATAGGAGTCTCACGGTCTTTCCTGCCCGGGCTGGCTTTGAACCGCGATCCTCAGATCTCAGCCTCCTGAGTAGCTAGGATTACAGGCATGAGCCACCAGCGCCTG